CACTATCTATCTCTGTTCCCTTTTCCCTTCCTCTTTCTCTCTCTGTCTCTCTATCTGTGTTCCATTTTCCCTTTCTCTCTTTGTCTATTTTTTTGTGTACCCTTTTCCTCTTTCTGTCTCTCTTTCTCTCTACTTGTGTTCTTTTTTCTTCTTTTCTTTCTTCGTCTCTCTATCTGTATTTCTTTTTCTCTCTCTTACTCTCTCCTCTTCATCATAGTTTTCTTTTCTCTCTCTCTATCCGCGTTTCCTTTTCTCCCACTCTCTCTCTCTCTCTCTCTCTATTTATTTAGCTATCTGTATTCCCTTTTTTCTCTCTCTTTATCTCTCTCTTTTTCTCTCTTTCTATCACAGTTTCTTTTTCTCTATCTCTCATTCTCTCTCTCTCTCTCTCTTGACATGTTTAATACCAACGTTTTTACACAATCATAATTCAAATCATTACGATTATTATATGAGGTTGTTGTGTTGTTTCATTCAGGTAAATAATTACTTTTCATTATTATTATTATTATTATTATTATTATCAAAAACATTAGCAGAAGATATTTATTTTGTAACCGTTTATTATGTTTTCTACTGGCAACCACGTAATCATTTTTTATGTTATAATTATTAAAATTTTATTTGTGTCACATCATTTAGATTTCGCCAATATTCATTTTTACTTATACACAAAAAATAAGAAGGAAACGATGATGATGATAATAATAATAATGATAATAATTTCGTGAAAATTAAAATGTAATTTATCTTTATCTTTTTTTCTTTTCTTGTTTTCTTGTATGGAAAGTACAAAATTTTTAGTCAAAATACGACGACGACGACGACGTACAAAATGGCCACGCATCAAATTTTTTTTTTTTTTTTCTAGAAACAATTTTCGAAAAAAAAAAAAAAAAAGTTTTGCGATTGTTCGGCCATAGTAAAGGGGGAAAAAGAAAAACAAAATCGTCCTTTTTTTTTATTTTCCAAAGGGAATTTTCCGTTGTCCAGTTTTTAAAAAAAAAAGAAAACCCTTTTCGAGAGAGAGAGAGAGAGAGAAAGAGAGAAAATGTATTCCGGAAGTGAAAATTTTTATTTATTTTCTTTTCTCCCTATCGGCGGCGGAATTCCTTTTTTTTTTTTTTTCCCAACGATCGTCTCTCAAAAGTTTTTCTTCTCCCCCCACCTCCCCCCCCCTCATTTTTCTTTTTAGTTTTTCATATATACTCAAACCATTTGGGAAACCTTTAAGTTTATAACAAGTGGCGATGGTGGCGGTGGTGACGATGGTGACTCTTCTTACAGTTGGTGACGTCTCTTACTGGCACGACCACTTTGATTTTTTCCATTCTTCTTCTTCTTCTTCTTCTTCATTTTCTTTCAATTATCTAATCCTTCGAATCATTATTATTATTATTATTATTAAACAATAAAGTATATTTCTATCCTTTTTTAACAATAATAATAATAATAATAATCGTTTTGTTTCATTTGGGAAAAAATTTCATAAACTCGTTAATCGATTTTCATTTTCATTTTTCCTTTTCTATTTCGTGGTTATTTATCAATAAGCAGACGACGATAAGAAATCTTTTTTTTTTGCTTTGTGTCGATAATACGTAGAATGGCGTCAGCAAAAAAAAAAAAAAAATTCGGATGAAAATATACGACGAAGACAGGAGGAGGAGGAGAAAGGGGAAGGAAGGGAGAGGGAAGAGAAAAAAAAAACGGTGAAAGCAAATTAAAATGTCATAAATAACAAAATTATCGGACGGAACTAAAAGAAAAAAAAAAAGAAAAAAAACGTAGTAATAATAATAATAAAAAGAGGAAAAAAAGGAAAAAGAAAGAAAGAAAGAAAATGTAACGGAGGGAGGAAAAAAAAAAGAGAAAAAATAGTGTAAAAACCAGAGAAGAATAAATCAACCGGAAAGATAATCAAAAGATGAGACCAATGAATGAATGAATGAATGATTTTCTCCGTCCACGATAGTAATAATAATAATAATAAAAAGGGTAACGACGATATATATGTATTGGAGTTTTCAGTTAACAAAAAAAAAAAAAACAAATTTTCCCAATATTTTGTTTAACGGTCTGTCAAAAGAGAGAGAGAGAAAGAGAGAGAAAGGGAAAATTTAGGTCATTGAACATTGTTTTGCGAAAAAAAAAAAATGTTGCCAACTTAAATATTAAATTCGATTATTTTGTAATTATTATTACCGTAAATTTTAACCAGATTCGTTTTATTTTTCGCAATGATACCAACTTAATTCATTTACGATGAAAAATGTTAATAATAATGATGATGACAATAAAAAAAAGAATATTCTGAAAAACATCTGGAAGATTTTTTTTTTTTTACATTAATAAAAAAAAAAAATGGATAAAAAATTTCGACTTTGTACAAAAGTAAAAAAATTATTATTATTATTATTATTATTATTATCATTATTATTATTATTTTCGGACTCCGTATATATATATATATATAAAAAAGTGAATTCAGTATAGGGAGACCCCCGCAGGTTTTAAAATTAACGCGTAAATAAAAAAAGAAAACGGCGAAAAAAATTTTTATTTATTTATTTTTTTTCTGCTTCCACGTTTTTTTTTAAATTTGGCTAAATCGTTTCTTTGTGCACGAAGTCGCACATTTATTTATTTATTTATTTATTAACAAAATGAGATTATTTATAGGGATACCTGAAGTGTTTTGTATTTATTATTCCAAACAATTTTTTTTTTTTTTTTTTCTAAAGATAATTATTTCCTTTTAAAATCGTTATTATTATTATTATTATTTTGTTTCGTATTAAATCATCATCATCATCATCATCATCATCATTATTATTATTATTAAGAAAAAAAATAAAAATATATTAAAGCTTAACGTCGTCGATTTAACAACATAAATAGAAAAAGAAAAAAAAAGATAAATTTATAAATTTTTTTTTTAACGTGTCACTAGTAGAAACGAATAAGAAAATTATTATTATTATTATTATACGTATTAATATAAATTTATCGTGAATATAGAAAACGATCGAATAGTTATAATAATAATAATATCTTATCAGAAGTTTCCTCTTGACTGGACAAAGGCTAACAAAAAATAGAAAATTCGACTTATATTTTTTTTTCCCGTTCGTTCTTTCTAATGCCACGTTTTTTTTTCCCTGATCGTTTTCGTATACAAATCGCCACCCTTAAAAATCTATAAAAAAAAAAAAATTGACCCTTTATTAACGATGAATTGTATTTATAAAAACTAAAGTGATAGAGAGAGAGAGAGAGAGAAAGTGACGTCATCAACATATACGATCGTGACAGTAGCAGAAGAAAAAGAGGAAAATTTTTTCTGTCAAATCCAAACCGTTGAGTTGTTGTTGATGAAAGGCGGTGGTCAAATTGCTTAACGGAAACGTCCCGGAGTGAGTAAGAGAGAGAGAGAGATAATTCCTGAAAAATGCACTTTTATTTCTCTTCCTTTTTTTCTTTTTTTTTCTATCATTGATTTGTTTCCTTTTCCGGTTTGAATTACTTGGTGCATGACAATTTGTCTTCCTTCTATTTCTTTTTCTTTTTTCTTTTTACTCTTTATAAAACGTTTTTTTTCCATTTTGAAAACGAAATAATTTTATGTTTGTTTTATATTTTTAAAACTTTTATTTATTTTTATTTGTTTGTTTGTTTGTTTGTTTGGCAAACTTTTTTTTGCCATTTTTTTTTTATATTAACGGTTATCGATCGATATATATATATGGTTTGTTTTTAGTTTTTTTTCGATTGTTTTTTTTTATTTGTTTGTTTCCTTTTTTACAAATTTTATCGGTTTTCTTCTTCTTCTTCTTCTTTTGCGGTAAATGTATTAGATTAACCTTTTTATTATTATTATTATTATTATTATTATTAATTTTGTCCAAACCGTAAACGATATATATAGAAAAAGAGAAATAATCCACCCTTCCAACCGACACGACGACAACCTCCCTTTTTATTATTTATATCTATGACATATTGTCAAACGATATTAAGAACGAGTGGTCGGATGGTGGCGGTGGTGGTGGTGGTGGGGGCGATGGTGCTCTCGCATCTTTTCACCATAAGTGACGTATTTCCTTTTTCTCTTTTTTCTAGAAAATATTGATGATTTCCCTTTCCGGACTCGTATATAATTTCTTTCTTTCTTTCTTTCTTTAAATTTTCATCGTCGTCATTATCATTATCATTATTATTATTATCGACAACCCTTTTTAATAAAAAAATTATTCATTCGTAAAAACAATGCTTCCTTTTTTTTTAGGGGGGGGAGGGGGGAAATCGATTCGATAACAAATTAAAAAAAAAAAAAAAAACAAAAGATAGGATGATGATTAAAATGACGTAACAACACGTTATTAATTAATTAATTTATTTATTTATTTAATTATCATTATTTAATTTATACATTATTATTATTATTATTAATTAATCATTCAATCAATCATTCCAAAAAAAAATTAAGAGATCAAAAATTTTTACATGAATTGGCTATATATATATATATTTAATTATAACAACCTCATTTCCGTTTGTTTATTTATTAATTTATAAACAATTATCATTATTATTATCATTACTATTATTATTATTATTATTACTGTATAAAATACAAAGGAAAACGAAGGGAAAAAAAAGGATAAGAAGAATCAAAAAAATAGGAAAAAAAAAAAAGAAAAATGAAAAAAAAAATATCTAAATATGATCTACATATTAATAATAATACCTGCTAATTATTATTATCATTATCATTATTATTATTAGTATTATCATCATTTGGATCCGCATGTTAATTCCTTATGGATATCCACGTTAAGAAAAAAAATTTGTCCGCCGTCGGTTTGTTTTTTTTTTTTTTTTTTTACACGCGTTCCGTTTATATTTGAAACCCCCTAAAAAATTGACTAGAATTGTAATAATGATGGTGATGATGATGAGCCTTAATACGTCACTGACACGCGAAGGCTTTGTTTCGTTCACGCTATGGGCCACCAACTTCTCGGTGGAGGTTGCATCAATGCCGGATGGGTATAGGTTGGAAGGGTTAAAGGTACGCCGTGGGGTTTATCTCTGTTCAAATCGAAATATGTACTTCCCGATGGTTTTGGACCGCAGGGTTTACCATCTCTTACTAAAACGGGTACTGCTACTCGTCGCGGTGAAGGCATCGTACCGACGGAAGTACTCCGCGAATCGTGGATACCTTTTTCTTGCTGTGCTCGTTTCGTTTTGTACCGATGATTTTGAAACCATATTTTGACCTTGAAAAAAGAAAAGAAATTTTAGTTTGTTTTATCACGTGACGACGATGATGGGAATGATGATGATGATGGTTACCTGGGTAGGTGTTAGCCTTATTATGGAAGCTAAATGTTCTCTTTCCGGTGCTGATAAATATTTCTGTTGTCTAAACCTTCTTTCTAATTCGTAGGTTTGAGCTTTTGAAAAAAGAACTCTTCGTTTTCTCTTTTTATGACCCGTTATTTGACCGCCTGGAGATTCCAAAGCGGACTGAAAATGTCAGAAAAAGAGTTTTATCTTCTGCCACGTTCGATCGCGTAACTAATAAAGTAACATTTCCCTTACCTCGACCGTTAATTGTTCGTGATTTTCTTCTTCTTCCATTTCATTTTGATTAGATATGTTATCCGTCGTGTCAGGACCACCGATTCCGGGACTTCTCGCTCCTCTAGTATGATCTGGAGAAATTCCCTTATAATTCGTAGGACTCGGGTAACCGCGATATGAATCGATTGAAATATCATCAGGATGTTCGGATCCCGGTAAATGAGTTTGCGATGATGGTGACGTACTATCGGGGCTGACTTGTTGTTCTATGGGAACGTCTAATAATAATAATAATAGCAGAAGGATAAAATTAATCTCGAATCGTTTCGCCAATAAAAAACTTTTTTTTTTTTGTTAAAATCAATTTGACGTAGATGAATAAAACCAGAAATGAAAGAGAGAGAGAGAGAGAGAGAGAGATGTAATAAGGGTAGGAAAGAAAAAGATGGGTGAAATTTCAAATTGTCAGATTTGTAATTGATAACCTAATTTGCATAGGTACAAAAGACCTAGTAGTTTCGACCCCTTTTGTCCCTGCCACGTCTTTTGTTATTGTAAATTTACTCGCACAAACACATTACACCTTTTACAATACACACATACATCCATCCGCCATTTTGTTTCTTTGTGTTGTAACAACATGGAGATGACATTATTAATATTTGTTGGCGTGAAAGAGGTATAATAAAACGGTAGCCATTATATATTATTTACCATGTCTTGATGGTTCTTGCCTAGTCCACTGTGCGTGAGGATGAAGTCCATCGTGTTGATTAGATAATGTATGATGAGCTGAATATAAACCCGCAGCCAAATGAGCCTGTTGTGCTGCTGCTAAACTTGCGGCTATGTGATGATTGAATTCGGGAGTTATCGCACCACCACCACCACCACCACCGCCGCCGCCGCCGCCACTTCCGGGTAACATAGTTTGTAAAGAATCTGGAATGTTTTTATTTAACAATAATAATAATAATAATAATAATAATTTAATGAAGGTTGCGTTAGGAAAGGAAACAAATAACTCACTGTGAGATGGTTCCGAATCGGGATGACCACCCGTTTTTCCTTGTTCGTTTAGGTCTAATATATCACAGATTTGAAAACCGGAAGAACGAGAAACTCCCACCGGCATTTTCATACTTTCTAGAAACCTGTAGAAAAAAAAAAAAAAAAATCGGGTAAAATTTTCACAATTTCGAACGTTTTCCCGACGACGACAACGACAACAAAAAATCCTTTTTAACGTAAATTAAATTTAACCTTTGACCTTTTTAAATATTAAATAATTTTTTTTTTAAAGAGTGATAATTACACCGCGGTAGAAAAATCGTGCCAATTGACGAATGAATGAATGAAAAAATTTGCAAATTTATCATATTCTAAAACCACGTCAAAAAAAAAAAGACAAAAAAAACTTACGAGTATCTCATTATTATTATTATTATTATTATTATTATTATTAAAAAAAAAAAGTTAATATCACTAACGATAATGACGCGCACGTCATACGCACAGCATCCACGGACATACGATGATAATAATAATAAATTTTTTCGTTTTTTTTCTTTTCCGTTGGTATTGTATGTCATTCACGAACAGGTTGATCAGGTAGACTGAAAAAACAACTCACGGGGGTTGTGTGTAAAAAAAAAAAGGCAGACGATCAGGCACCATAACTACCACCACCACCACTACCACCACCGCCGCTACCACTACCAGACTCATTCAGACCCTCTACGAATTTTTTTTTTGATTTTCTTACACTCGATTGATTTTTTTTTGTAAAAAAAAAAACCTGAACCTGACAATGTTGATTTAACGTTGCCTCAAGCGATCACTTTTACAATCGGATAACAAAAAAAAATTTTCCATTTTTCTCACACTCGCCTTTTTTTTTTTTTTTTTTATTCTTATACTTTTACGAAACGGTTATAAAGTTTTTTTTATATCATCTACAACCCTCGAAACATAATAATAATAATAATGATAATAATAATAATAATGAATGAAAAACAGAAAAATGATTTTTTTTTTTTTTATATAAGAACGTGTAAGAAGAAGAAGAAGAAGTAAATTCTTTGATTAATGATTTTGTCGTGTTTTCAGTTTTTTTTTTTTTTTTTAAATACTCGTGCAAACAACAGCAGCAACAACGCGTCGGATAATTATCATTATTATTATTATTATTATTATTAATGAATGAATTATGTAAAAATCGTTTAAAAGACAGGTACGAATGCCGAAAGGGAAGGGAAAAAAAATGACAACCGAAAGAAACAAACTCGTACAAAATCGAATACCTTTTTTTTTTTCCGAAGGGGGAAGAAGGGAGGGGGGCTTTAATTCATACCCTTCCTTATCATCATCATCATCACATTCCGATCGATTTGCTTCTCTCCCCCACTTCCTCCTTCTCCTCCATCCATTTTTCCCAAATCAAAATTCATTCACATCAAACGCGACACCGAAACTTTTTTCCTTCTTTTCTTTTTTTTTTTACTCATCGTAATATTATTATTATTATTATTATTGCTTTTGATGACGACGTGTCATTAGGTACGACGTGACAAGTTAGGTTTAAAATAAATCGAAAATAATAAAAAATAATCGAAATGAAAAAATTTTTACCGAATGAAAAACAAAATCGCGGCTTAAAAAAAAATTATTATTATTATTATTATTATTATTATTATTATTATTTTGTTAAAGTTTTGATAAAAATCGATTAGATAAATATATTTAATTTTTTATCAATTAGATAAATCCGTTATTTATGTACATAAATATATATATGTATATATTTATTTATCTTTCTACCAAAAAAAAAAAAAAAAAAAAATGGTCGTCAGATCGACTTCTGTTAACGATAAAAAAAAAAAAAATTATCGATTTGATTGATTATTATTATTATCATTATCATTATTATTATTATTTGGTCGTTAAAAAAATGAGGAGTCGAAGAAGAAGAAGAAGAAGAAATAGAAAATGTCGAATTTTTAAAAATACAAGAATAACAACCCGCAAATGTTGTAAAAGATAAAAACGATTTTGATGAAATGAACGAAAAAGAAGAAAAAGAAAAAATCAGGCATCGTGAGTAAGAATTCATAAAAAAGATTAAAACAAGAAGAAGAAGAAGAACAACCAACAACAACAATCAACAATCAACAATCGACAATCGACAATGAATGCCGACATTCATTTATAAATTGTATGAACCTCTTGACGAAAGAAAAACGAACAGAAAAAAAATGCAAAAACTTTTTTTTTTGTTTGTATCACGTTTTTTTCGAAAGGTTGTTGTTGGTTGTTGGTTGTTGCCGGTTGTTGTTGTCCTTGTCGTTCGTAGTAATTTAAAAAAAAAAAATTTTTTATTTTTGTTTTCGGGGTGAAAAATTTCTCGGTACCTGTTAATAAGAAAAAATTTTGCATTTTTATCGGAGGAAAATGATTTAAGAAAGGTCAAATGTCACGAGGTCATCGAATTGATTTCTGTTGATGAGAGAGAGAGAGAGAGAGAGAGAGAAAGAGAAAGAGAGAGAGAGAGAGAGAGAAAATTGTTGTTGTTTTTATACTAACCCAGTTGGAAAAAATGCTGGACACCAGGGTGGTAGTCCGATTGTTGGACACCACATAAAAACGGGTGGTGGAAAATTCGGCGTTCTACCACCACCACTACCCGTACCGAATATGGTTCCTCGTCCAGGACCGGAACCAGGACCGGTATGAGACCCGGTATGGGCACCGGTACCCGTCGGTTCATCCGCAAATGGTATTTTTAATAAGTTTCTCCTATCGTCGGTTTCGTTTTTTTTTAAATTATCCTCCGTTCGTACGTTTTCCATTTTTTCTTTTCTACCCATTTCCGGCCACGACGACGACGACGACGACGACGACGATGACGACGGCGATGATAATAATGATGGTGATCCTTTTGTTTTATTTATTTTTAATTTTTTAATTTTATTATTATAATTAATAATTTCCTCATCGTTTTTTTCTAATAATAACGAATCGATATCTCGTTTTTTAAAATCTTTATACGTTTCGATATTATTATTATCTTTCGTAACATTTTCCGTCGTTACTTTATCATCATCATTTTCCTCTTCATCGTCATCACCATCGCCTTTTCCTTCTTCCTCCTCCTCTTCAATCGTTTCCACTTCCCTTTCTTCTTCTTCTTCTTTTTTTTCTTTTTCTTTTTTTTTATTCATTTTTTTAATCGTTAATTCATTTTTTATTTCTTCATCCGATCTATTTATTTTTTTTGACATTTTCACTACATTAACAAATTTTTTTTCTTTTTACTTTTTCAACTTCCGCCACTTTTTCAACACCGACACAATTTTCAGTAATAATAATAATAACAAGAATTTTCAAAAAAAAAAAAAATTTCTTCAATTTTCCGTCTCTTACTTTTACTTTTGTCAATTTTATTCGTAAATGATAATAATTTCACATACTATTATTATTATTATTATTATTATTATTATTATTATTACGTAATAAACAATTACGATGATAATAATAATAATTTATTACTACCCGTTAAACGATTTGTAATTTTTTTAACGTTAATACGATGTTAATATTATTGTGATTGAAAAGGTCCATTCTAGGTTAAATTTAATAAATGGGTAATTACTATTATTATTTTTATTCACGATTGACCTAAAAATATTACGGTAATTTATTTATTTATTAAAAAATTATTAATTAATAAGACGTCGTTAGTTTATTACGTACGCACACACACACACACACATATATATATATATATATTTTTTTTTTCGGTTAAATATTTTAAATACACTCGCGATTAAAATATTATTATTATTAGTATTAGTATTATTATTATTAATAAGAAGTCTACTTAAAAAAAAAAAAAAAGCACTCAAATTCGATGTAAGTTGTTGTACTCGAACTCGAACTCGAACTGATACTTTTAATAAAAAAAAGTCCCGCACGGATTTTTGTCAAGTGGACAATTTGCGAACCACCCTAGTTTAATAATAATAATGATAATAATAATATAAGGACACGATCATCATTATTATCATCGTGAACGTAACACTTACGCATATTCAAAACTACTCGAAGACATATTTTTTACCCCCGCCGCGTTACCGAATAAAAAAAATGTATGCGCGTGTAAAAAAAGGTAAACAACAACTACAAACAACAAAAAGAAAAAAACGTATTAAACGACAACGACAACAACAACAACAACATCATCTTCGTCATAATAACCGCGAAAATTTCGTGAAAAAAAAAAAATTCTCCGGGGAACGAAAAAAAAAAAAAAAAAAAAAAAATTACGAACGACGAAAACGTGTTTAAAAAAAATTTATTATTATTATTATTGTTAAATGATTTCGCGTTCGCATTTGATAAACTTGATTAAATGGGGTCATCTTAAAAATCGTTTAAGGGATGAAACTTTAAAAATAATAAATGGTATTGGTGAAATGATTGACCAATTAGAAAACATGTCAAAGGGCGGACCGATGAAAACGACCAATCAAAACGTATTATCGCCTTAGTGCAAGAAAGGATTTTTAGTTTTTTAAAAAACGTTCCAGAACGTTTGAAACGAACAATTTTTTTTTTTTTTCTGTTTTCATTAAAGAAAATAGCAGAAGATTTAAAATGATTTTAAATAATAATAATAATAATAATAATAATAATAATAATAATAATAATAATAATAATAATAATAATAATAATAATAATAATAATAATTTTCTTTATAAAGGAAAAAAAAGGAAATTAATTCGAAAGAGGAAGGGGAAGGGGAAAGGGGAGGAAATCGCAAATTTATTAATTAGATAATTGAGTTGCCACCCGATTGATCAATAAACCCCCCTCCTCCTCCATTGTTTATCGTTTTTTTTTTTAAAAATAATTATCCCGGAGGCATTGATGAAATCGTTATAAAAACCATAGAGTAAATAAAAAATTTAAAAGTAAATAGAAAAAATAACATGAACGGAAGAGGGACGTGAAAATTTTCTTTTCCTTTTTTTTTTTTTTTAATTATCGATAAACAACCATAACCGAAAATAATAATAATAATAATAATAATAATAATAATAATAATAATGAGTAAAAACCGTTAAAATTTTTTTTTTCTTTTATAGAATTAATTAAAAATATTTTTTTCCGGATAAACCGATGATGAAAAGGGAAAAAAAGAGAAAAATTGTTTTCTTCTTCTTCTCCAGGTTATTTATACCCTTTCGTCACTGAAATCATGGAATTCGGTTACAACTGGAGAAATATATGGGAGATGATATTGTTTCGTTATGATTGGTTCGAGAATATGCTCGAAAGAGGAGAGAGTCTTCCCCCCTCCCTTCTTCCTCCTCTTGTCACAGTTAATTGAATATAGATTTCAGATATAAAAAAAAAAAAATCATTTCGGGGTTGTTACGTTGTCGAGAAAGTTTTTAAAAGAGGAAACGAGGAAGAATAAAAAAAAAAATCAGGACCGTAATTAGAATATTTAAAAAAAACAACAGAATTATTATTATTATTATTATTTAAAAAAAATTTTAAAACTTTTTGGATTATTTCGAATAAAATATGTTTAAAAAATTTTTTTTTTGTTCAATCACGGTAAATAATTACAGTATGTATGTATCGATCGATCGATTTATTGATTGATTGATAATAAAATTAGATAAACAAGGAATACGTAGTAGTAATAATAATAATAATAATAATTGAAAAAAATATTTTTTTTTCGGATCAAATTTATAATAAAATTAAATACGAGAAATTATTTTGCTTGCGGGGAGAAATTTTTTTTTTTTTTACCGGGATTCTGAATCGTCTGCTGTGGGAAGGATTTACATCCCTTCTACCCTTAAGTTAATATATAATTATAAATTTAAAAAAAAAAAAAAAAACTTACTTGTAATCGTCGGCATATTCGTTTTGATACCAACAATCCGAATACCCGCCAACAGGTTCGTCATAAATCGTTGAAAAATTCATTGAATTTTCTTTAAATTTCCATTCGACGGATATAAAAGCAACCTGGAAAAAAACTTTTTTTTTTTTTTTTGTTTTCCTTAAAATCAACACGAAAAAAAAAATAAAAAAAATTTAATAAAAATAAACGCGTGAATGAATGAATGAATGAATTAATCATACCTTCGAAATATGTCGTAAATTTTTTTTTAGCAGACGACGAATAAAAATTTTTATTTATTTATTATTAATAAATTGATTTTGGGATACGTAGTGGGCGCCGAGAGGAAAACTAAAAAAAAAAAAAATAAAAAAATATCATATCAGGTAAAAAAAAATAACATTTGTCTCTTATCAGTTGTGTCCTTCTCTATCTCTTCGGTTATTTTTTTTTTTTTATCGGATATTTCGATATCTTTCGTTTTAGCAGCACATGTCGGCGTTTATTTAATTAATTATTAATTAATTTCGATTTAAAATAATAATAATATTATATATTTTTTATTTTTTATTTTGCCCCCCTTTTTTTTTATTTAAATTTTTTCATCAATCTCCTCGTCGTCATCATCATCATTATTATTACTTTTCATCCCCTTACTTAAATAGTTGTAAATTAGTCCGGTAGAATGCGCCAAAATCGTCTCTGTTTTTTGTTTTGTTGAATTCACGTAAACTAAACTATCGGTTTGTTTTTATTTATTTATTTATTAGTTTCTTTTTAGTTATGTATACATTTAAAATAATTTTTAAATAAAATAATTAAATTTATTAATATTTTTTATTTATCACTTGGATAAAAATTTTAATTAATAAACTCTAATTACATAATTGGATTCGTTGTAGAAATTTAATAACGATAAGATGGCGGCCATTTTGAATTTATTTAATTAGTAACTCTTATAACCGATCGAATTAAGTGTTTTTTCCTTTGTTTTTTATGTTTTTTTAACGAATCCGTTTTGGGTAAAAATGAGAGAAAAATATTGTTTTATTTAAACAGTACTAACTCATTTGTTAATTTGTTTGTTCTTTTTTTTTTTTTATTATTTATTTACAATAATGACGCCAACATGATCGTTAATATTAATAAAAATGGTAATGTTATAAATATTAATAATAAACATTTCGTGAGTATAAAAATTTACGTAAGAATTATTAATTATTTATTTTTAATTGAATTTATACATTTTTTAGGTTATTCAAACTTGTTGTTGCTATCGAGGTAAATAACGTTTGGATAAAAAAATAATTGAATGTTCGATTAATTATTAACATAAATAAATATTTTCCGTTAAAATTTGATTGTGTGGAAAAAGGTTATTAAACATATATGTTTAATAAGATTATGTTAATTTGTTTTTATTCAAATCATGCGTTCGAATATCATTATTATTAATTAATTTTAACGGTTTGGATCACTACTCTTGTTTTTCTTTTTTTTCAATTCGGAAAAATTTGTATTATTTTTTTGCTGATTTTTTAATAAAATTCTAACTTGTTTTATTTTTATTTTAGATTGGTTGTGACAATTGTTACAGACAAATGGAATTTAATGATAATGGATTATGATTAATAGATTGTACTTGTTATACGAACAAAAGAAAACAAGTAAAGAAAATCTTCGATATACTTTTTTTTATTCATGTATGTGTTATAAATAATATTTGCTTGGTTGTTATTTGTTTGTTAATGTGTGAAATTAATCGAATAATCTCATGTCACATTAATAATCAATTTGTTTAAATAATAATTATTGTAAAAACTACAGGGTGTTGTTAAAATATTTAATGTGTAATTCATAATCGATACAATAATGTCGTTTGATGTTAATTTGAAGGTTGTAAATATGAAATCGAGAAATATGTTA